TAGTAGAGACAGGGTTTCACCATGTTGGCAAGGCTGGTCTTGAACTCCTGATCTCAAGTTATCCACCCACCTGGCCTCCCAAAGTGTTAGAATTACAGGCCTGAGCCAATGTTTATTTCTATTAGACCCTGAGGAACCCCTTAACCCCTGAGTCTGTTTCCTCACCTCCATGACAGTGATCAACGGTGATGCTGATTCTTACTCCACAGGTGGCGGACGTGCCTTAAGGGAAATCGTGCACAGCGAGCCCTCAGTGACTGTGAGCTATTACTCCCAGCGCTGCAGTGTTTCTGCTCTGTGCTGAGACTCGGAGATGGACCATGAAGTGTTCAGGCTTACATTGCAAGGGAGGCTGGGCCCTGCACCAGCCCTGGAGCTCCAACTCCTGGCTCGGTGTCACTCTGTAGGTTTTTTACTTTGTCTCTGTCAGCCTTTGTTTCTGTGTTACCCTCTTTGACTTTCCAACTCAGGCTTCCTCTTCCCCCAACCCATTTCCTGCCCCCTGGCCTGCAGCTGAGGTGCACACAGTATTACAACCTCGCTTCCACCTCACAAACCCCAACAATGCTCTGTGGGTTCCCCTCCCCCTACCAGCTCACTCAGGCAGTGACGCATTCGCCCTTTCCTCCTGGTAGGGTCAAGGCCCAGTTCTTGGACCTCATGAGGCCACCTGGAGTTCCTCGCATCACTGGTGACCTGGCCCTCAGCTAATGATGGGCACTCCCTCAGCCTAGTCCCAGGGGAAATTCTTTGCCTGCCTGCTGCTTGTGACAATCTTCTTGGTGCCTGCTTATAACAGAAAGTCCTGACAGTCTGTGGCCTGCACCTGGGGGCCTAAGTAGGCCTGTTTGCGCTGTCTTCCATCTGTTGCAGGAGACGGTGCCAAGGCCCCCACCTCTGCCAGGGGCTGTGGCCTTGCCTCTACCTGCATTCAAAGTGTTGCCCTATGCTCAGACCATGATTAGTGGGTGTTGTGCTGGCCTCTGACTACGGCAGGGGCCTCTTGGAGACGTGAGGTTGTCCTGTCTACTTCCTGAAACAGGAGCCACCCTTTCTGTCTGTGAGAGGAAATTCTTCCAGCATTCTGCCTGCCACTCGCCTATCCTTGACTATAATAAAGCTACTGTCCTGTTCCTGGGATGACATGGGAATTGTTCTCTCCGCCTGACCTGACTGTGACATGCATGCTCTGCTGGCCAGCTATTTAACAGGGATATTGTCCTCTCCTCTGACTCTGGACGATGCTACCTTTGCTGCCAGACAGAAAGAAAAGGGTCACTCAGCTGCAGCGGTGGTGCTGCGGGGCTGCTTGCCTCTCACCATCAGCTGAGTGCGAGTCTGCTTGCCCCCTGCTCACTGGGGCCAAAGGCTGCCCTTGAATCTCTTGCCCAGATGTTCCCTGGAGGGCAGACAGATGGTCTATTGGACACCCTCCCCTCGACTTTAACCTCCCAGTGTCACCCTCAGGGGTAGTAGGGCCTGGCCTGGAGGTGTAGGGGACCCCCAGAGGCTGGGAGGCGGGGGTCTATAATGGCAGGAAGCTTGGGGTGCTAGAGGCTTGTGGTTGCGTTGCTGGGGCCTGGTTGGCTGCGGAGCCCTCAGGAGGAGGCAGGAAGTCAGGGTGGGACGTGGGCGCGGGGAGACAGGCGGTGGCTACGACGGCAAGGGGAGCTGAGACTGTCCAGGCAGCCAGGTTAGGCCAGGAGGACCATGTGAATGGGGCCAGAGGGCTCCTGGGCTGGGCAGGTAAGGAGTTCTGGGAGCGGGGCACAGGCGTGGGGGCGTGGGAGACCTGATAGCAGGTGGCTGTGGCTTTGCGGGGGCGGGGGGAAGCGCCAGGCTCCCTGGGGACACTGTGGCCCTTTGTGGGCTGGGGAGAGAAGATCCTCACTGGAGGTCAGGTGGGAGGCAGGCAGTGCAGCTGGGTCGCCTCTTTCCTGCGAAGCTGGTGGTGCTTGACTCTGCCATGCTGTCCGAAGCAGCCTCTGCCTCACTGGGAGCGTGTTTCCTGGAGACCAGGCGCATGGAGAGTCAGGTGTTAAAAAAACAGAAACCACCAAGTCCAGTGCCTCATGCCACGAGGATGAGGCTTCTGAGGCCCAGAGAGAACAAGGCACTCACTGCCCATGGTTTCTCAGCAAGGCAGTGGCAGGGCCGGGCCCCAGAAGAGAGTGACAGCTGAGGCTGTGACCACCCCGCCTGGAGCAGGGTGATGGTCAGGCTGGACTCAGAGGACTCAGGAAGCCTTCGGGTTTCTGGGGCAGACCCCAATGACAAGAATCTCCATAGAGAAAGAGAGAGAGAGAGAATCACCCAGGGAATCCAGATGGACATGCAAGGAGCGATGGGAGTGGACGGATAAGTGCGGGGCTGTCCATCATCTGGGATGGAGCTCCAGGGCGGATGGACATGTCTGATCTGAGTCTGGGAAGTTGGAAGTGAAAGAGGATGATGGGAGAAGGGAAGCGGAAGTACTATTTTTATCCCAAACGGGGGTGCAGTTGACCCTGGGTGAAAAAGCTCTGAACTCCCATCTGGAAAGTCGCCATTCCTGCCTCTGCCAAGCGTCACGGCAGGATGTCCTCCCCTTGCTGCTGGCTCCCTCCTGCTTCAGCCCTGTGATGCAGTGATGCGTAGGGCCTGTTGGTGTTGCTGATTCTTGCTTCAAACCCCAGGGAGGTGGAGAGAGACTGGGGAGGCATAGTTGCTATCTGGCCACCCCCTTACTTTTTAACTCTGAGCCTTAATTTCTGGGGGGAATCCCCAGACTTCCAGGTTCCCACTGCTTCGTTGGAGTTTTTCTTGACACACACTTTCCGCCTAATCAGCAGGTCCCAGCCTTTGTCCTGTCTACAGCTCTGAGGCTTATGGCCTTTTGTGGGGGCTGGGGAACATGGTGGCTCTCCCCGTGCTTCAGGGAGGGTAATTCGCCCCCAGATAGGCATGAGCAGCTCCCTCTACCCAGCGCTGTGCTGACAGATCAATCAGACAGGGTCCCTGGCTCTTGGGGCTCAGGAACAGAGGCTCTTCTCAGAGAGAAAGGGCCGAGTGGACAAGGGCTGAGAACAGGCTGAGGGTTGGTTCAGAGGAGGAGAGAAGGCATCTCAAGATCTGGAAAGCTTCCTGCAAGAGTTAAAACAGTTCTGAGAAGGAGAAATACCCATTTTCTAGAGTGCCTAGGACATGAAGCCAAGGACACTATCCCTGGATTCTGTTCCTTGGGTACCATGAGGGCAGATACCTCAGAGCAAGACCAAAGGCAAAAGAGCCCATAGGCATGGTGTGGGGCAGAAAACATGCATTTCAGGGACAGGCCGACCCAGGTACAATTCTGTACTATCATTTCCTTGAGCAAGTGTCTTCATCTCTCTCTAAACTTCAGTTTACTTATCTGTAAAGAGGCAATAATCAAGCTGGGCGCGGTGGCTCACGTCTGTAATCCCGGCACTTTGGAAGGCTGAGGCGGGTGGATCACTTGAGTCTAGGAGCTCGAGATCAGCCCGGCCAACATAGTGAAACCCTGTCTGTACTAAAAATGCACAATTAGCTGGGTGTGGTGGCAGGCGCCTGTAATCCCAGCTACTCTGGGGGCTGAGGCAGGAGAATCTCTTGAACCTGGGAGGTGGAGGTTGTAGTGAGCTGAGATAGAGATCGTGCCATTGCACACCAGCCTAGGCAGCAGAGTGAAACTTCATCTCAAAAAAAAAAAAAAAAAAAAGAGTCAATGATCAATTTCTCCCTTACAGAATACTTGTATGGAATCAAAGAGAAAATGACCATGATATGCCCTAGGTAGTACCTGACACCTAGTAGGTGTTTAAGGGAGGTGCGACACTCCCTCCCCCTGCAAATCATGCGCCAAAGGGAGAGCTGTCCACACCCAAATTCTGCCCACTCAGCACCTTAGCGGGCTGGTGAGCCACCCATTCCCTCACACTTGTAGTGTGGCTTTGCAAATGAGCCTGTTTCCTGTATATAATGCAAGGGGTGTGAGAACTCAAGCAGACTGAACTCTGAGCAGGGCCATGGGATCTACTTTAGAAGGGGGTCTCTCACACAGCCACACACAGACACACACACACGCAAATGAAAACACCACATATACCATAAGAAAAGGGATGTGTACAGATATGTTCAAAGGCAGGGCAAGGACTGCACATAAAACAGACTGCATCCTCCAGCTCCATACACACACCACGAGCTGACAGCTTCAAGGCCAAGCTCAATTCAGTGGAAGTTATTCTCAGTGGCGTTGGGTAGGGTGGGGTGGGGGGTGAGGAGAAGATGGGACCAAAGTGCCATCCAGTCATGTGGCCTCTAACAGTCAACCTCAGTGTTGATTTTAAAGTATCTGGAGCTAGGAGTCTGAGGCTGCAGTGAGCTGTGATCGCTCAACTGCACTCTGGCCTGGGTGAGACAGCTAGACTC